GTATTTGAGCGATATCTCTGACAGTGAGGGCAAGCCTACGGACACCACGAGGCCTGTCTGTCAGACATTTATTAATTTGATTTAATACGAATTCTTGTCATTTATTGTATTTATTGTTCTCATTGTTTAAAAGTGTGTGTTATGGTTCTGGTGTGAAATAAAGCACAATAATTACATTTAAGACCGTTTCCCTTTTTTAAAGAAAATATCGAAAAAGAATCGGAATCGCAATTCTTGACTTGGTATCGAAACCAAAATGTTGGTATCGTGACAACACTAGCTACTCCTGACAGTTAAACCTGATATTTAGTAGGTCTGTTAAGTATTGAATGCTGATAATTCTGACGTAATTTGGCCGGTCAAAGTTGTTTGGCCTCGGATAAAATCGCTCCGTTACTTTCGTCCCGTGTTATGTATGTGGTGTATGTGTGGTGTCAGTATGAGAGGATGACAGCGCGTATAATTTGTATGTGGCCCAAGAGCCAATCACAATAATACCTGCGATGCAGTGAACCAATCACCTTTGAAGGGGGGAAAACCTATCGTTGATTAAACATTATCCAGTGTTTCCCCTACCATTGTCTTGGAGGGGTGCTGCGCCCCGCCAACGGAGCCCCGCGCCCCCCCCCTGAAATTCAAGGTGTTTAAAAAAAAATATATATTTTTTTTTTTTTAAATATATATATATAGCACCAAATTGCAAATAATCTATAACTACTGTCACTTTTCACATTGAACATGTGCTCTTTTATTAAATAAACTAAACACTTTCATTTTAAGTTGTGAGTTTAGTGTTTTTGACCCTAAGAAACACTGATGCATTATTCAATAACAATAATCCACAGCTCCTCTCTCTGCTCCAGAGGATTTAAAAAATATATATCCCAATGCCACAAAAATGCATCAGTGACGTGGTTGAAATCTTGTCTCCAGAAAACAAAAAACTGAAACAAGCGGTATCAGTGACTGTGTGTTTGATGTGGCTCTTTGAAGTAACATAGAAAAAATGTGGCTCTTAACCTCTGACTGGTTGGCCACCCCTGCTTTACAAGCTTAAAGAATGTATTTATCGTGTGATTTTGGAAATAAAAGTTTCATATTCTGCCAAGACTTTGTTTGTTTAAAATCAAACAAAACACACGAACCCCGTTTATTTTTAAATGAGCCGTTGCGACTTCAGACTGATTTCGATAGAGTGGGTCACATATATTAACTGATTCAATGTTACATTATATGGAAGTTTAACTATAAACGATTCCTTAAAAAATTGTTTAATTTAATATAATACAATCCCACGATTTTTCCAGGAATAGAAAATAAAATTAATCTTAACAACTGGATAACAATGAACATGTAAACCCTGAATTTAACAGCAAGAAGCGGATGAGAGAATGGCGGCGACTTACGATTGATTAACATCATGATAACAAAGCAAGAGGTGAATTTGAAGAAATGCACAAATAAACAGGTATGATCCATATTTTGTTGGGATGGTGCAGTCAAACCAACTTCTAATTGTAAGCATCCCAACATTTTTGCCAATTGATTGTACAATTTTACACCTGGCAACATGTGCATATACTATATGCAGATTCAAGATTCAAAGGCTTTAAGGCGAGACACGGCAGGCAAAAACATCGTTTTTCATGCACTGGTCAATTTTGAGCTATACTCTAACATGTTTTCTTTCAGGCTTTTGGAAGGAAAACGTACAAAATACACATTTAAGTGTTTATTTGACTATAGTTTGTCTATTTGCGTAGATTTCTCCTAAATTCACCAAAAGTTAGCATTCTAACGTAACATAAAGTACCGCGACCGCTGTGTGCACCATGTAATCAGAGGTATCGCTGGAAAGCTGTGTCTCTCCTGCACAATCTCATCGGATCCAAATATGGTCATTTCCTTTGTATCAGCAACCAATCGTGAAAGCACAAAGGGGTCTTAAACCAAGAAACAAAATCTCATTGGCTGGTGTCAATTTCTGACAACGTGATTCGTTCAGATGCGTCACGTGGTGTGCTAAAACACTTCCTGGTTAGCTTTCTGCTAGAAATTGAAATATTGAAATCTCAAAATGGCAAAAGAACAGCGAAAAAAACATTCACAAAAAACAACAACATATTCCTATCAATATTCTGAAGGTTTTTACAGAAGTTTTTGTTCATATATCATTCATAGCCTGAATTATACAACATTGTATACCTAAAAACATGGTGAAAATGGATATTTTAGGGCTGTTGACAGTATTTTCTGATTTATGGAGTGATAAAAAGAGATATCCAAAATCCATTCTGTAAAAACTTTAGATTCTAATATGACTACAAAATGAAACAAGAATTTTGAACCTGACTTTATCCAAAGTTCAGAATTGTGTTCCTGAAATGTATTACAATATGTGCATATTTAATGAGATGATGGCTCATACATGTGAGGAAAATAAATAAATATTTATAAATAATGCAGAGAATGTTGTAAGTGACCAGGATGCAGGAGTTACAAAAGTACCTATTGTACAGTAACATTTTTAATAATGAATGTTCGTTTTAACATTTAATGTGTTGTAATAGCGCCACAAGGAGGAGACTCATCCCTATTACACGTAATCTGGAACCACAGACTGCTTTGAAACATTTGGGAATTTTGTTTGGGATTTGTTATTAGGACAGAAGAGAACAAAAAACAGAAAAAAGACCACTCCATAACTCTTATAAGTATCCTTACCTGGAGTCTTTGCAACAGTCGGTTCTGCTCTGTTGGTTTCCTTTTTAGCTCCGTCGCTCTCCCCCCCCCCCGCTCTTCTTCTCCCAGGCTACAGATACTGCAGCTGTGCTTCCAGCAACAATGTCCATCTGACATTCTGAAGAGAAGCTGGGTTACTGGCACCGCTCAGAACTCAGACATTTACGTGACGTCATTTTATTTGCAATACCTTCAGATTCCTGCTTCACATCTGTACTCTCACTGGGGGTATCCTCCGTGGAGACGACTGCCTCAGCCGAAGGGGCGATCTCGCTTTTTGTTTCTGTAAAAAACAGAAGGGATTTGATATAAACAGTGAAAAAGAATAAGTGCTTCTCACTAAAGATCGATTTTGAGGAGGAGTATCATTTTAAAACTGAAAAACCGAGTGCCAACTTTTGGACGTTACAGAATATTTAAACAGAGAATACACAACACCTTCAACTTAAATGAATATAAACACATTTAATTGGGGGAAAAGTAAAGTTAGCCATTCACCTGATGGTAAAAGGCATGTTGTTATCCATCTCATGTTTGAAGCTTAAATACTAAAGTATATGCTGCCAAATTGGCTATAGTGAGGATATACAATGTGTTATGTGGGAGGCTCGTAGGAATATATGTAATATAATCGGTTAACTGATATGAATGATAGTATGTTGACAAGGCAAAAACGATTGGACCTAAGTTCAAAGATTACAAATGCCCATTGTTTTGCTACTCAGGGTTTCGTAAGGGTTTTCAATGACAAAAACGTACTGTTTAATGTAAAAAGAGTTTAATGTTTCGTTTAGTTATATTAATTTTTAAAGATGGATGATGCATAAAAAGTGTGATGACCTTTCACATGGGAAACATACAAATGAGCCAATTATGTGGGAAATGCTGGAAGAAGAGGGAAAAAAACACTTTTCTACAATAATCTGTAGATATTTATATTTGCATATATGCATTTTTTATGTGGACACCTCATTTGTGATACTGATGTTTTTGTGTATTACTTTGTGCCTTGTATATATGTGGGATGCGTCAAATGCTTAAGGTTTGATATAGATAAGGCCACAAACTAAGAGCATCTGTAATATTCAAAGCATGACGAATTACAATACATCTGTAATATTAATGAGTAATGTTTGAAATTCATTTTCTAGAAAACAAAAATGTTTGCAATAGTAACTATGATTCTTGGAAACATCTTACCGCTGTCCATGATCTGATCGCTGGTTCTCTTTTCTGCATCAGCAACTCCCCCCTTAGACTTCTCGTCCCATGATATATCCACAGTAGAAGTACTTCCTTTTACTTCAATGACGGCGTCCATCTGGGGATCTAAACACGCAGTTTGTTATTGGTACAGCTCACAGATACAAACAGACATGTGAGATGCGTTTGCAGTACCTTGTTCATCTTGGTTCTCCTTGGGAGCATCTTCTGTTACGACTATTTGTTTGCTTGAAGAGACGATCTCAGTCTGTCCTTCTGCAACAACTATTGTATGATTTAAAGGTATTGTTATTATGTCAAAACAGCCAGCTAAATGTAATCTTCCACATGTTTATTAAATAAATGACTTGCCAGTTGTAACATTGTCCTCTTCTTCTACAACTTCAATTGTGCCAGCTTGGCTCTTTCTTGTACTACGTCTAGTAGCCTGGAAAAGAAACAAATACATACATTTCAAATCAGTAAGAACTATGTTCACCCACACACAGATGGCATTGCAACTGAAACAGTTATTCACATTATTTGTATGTGTGTTTTATTATCTTGCGTCAATGGCAGCAGCATTTTTACAAATGCAAAAAAACGTATGAACTTCCCCCATTTGAATATATTATTACAAAATGTCTTCACATATAGTGAGGGACAGCTAACTTGTTGCTTTCCATTTAAACAGGCTGTGCAGTTGTAATGTATCTGCTGGAAACAGCTAGTACAACTCAGGTGATTATCAGCAGCTAGCCAACTGTTAGCTTGCAGCAAATAACCTAAAATAACGCAAAGCGGAAACATTAATTCAGTGCACTTAGTAGCCCTTTAGAATAAATGTAAATTAACGTAATTCTAACGTTAGATGTTTACCATATTTAGTGTTACAACAGCAGACAATCAGAAACTGGTGCAGCTAGCAGTCTTTCAGTCGTTCCTCCGGTGAATGCACGTGTGTGTTGAGCTAAAAACACCCACATGCTACTACTCTGCGCACTGCGCATGCGCTAACTATTGACTAACGGATGCCTGTAAGTATTTCATTTCATTTGGCGTATGCACAACAACAAATAACGGAATCTCCCCCGCCGCCAGATATTCTCCAGTGTTTGGGCATCTCTGCTGTGAGCACTGCACACATTTGGGAACTATTGGGTAGCAGCAGGGGAAAGATGTTAGCAGAGAGAAAACCTAGTTGGAAGTGTTTTCGAAGCAGGTAACCGCTCAAATGTGATTTTTCTTAAAGCTAGCTTACGTTAGCACCTAAACGTGACACGGTTGACTGCTCTTATCAGCGGTGATGTGTTTCAGCGGCACAGCAGCCTGTCAGTTGACTCTTGCTAGGTTAGTTTGGCTATTATCATTTCTATTTATCTGCAACAATGGATATCAGGAAGTGGTTCATGAAAGAAGTATGGCAACTCAGCGCCAGATGCAGGCACATTAGAAGACATAAGTTACGTTACCAACGAGCTAGCAAGCCAGCCAGGGACAAGGGAGGCTGGCAATCAATTATATTTTGAAGAGAAATTGACTCTCAAGCCGGTGTTATGCCGTAGGTTGAAGCCTTGCCGTGGATTGAAGCCCTGTTCGCGGGGACGCGCAAAGGTGATGTCATCGCCTGTATTGAGCGTTCGCCGTTTTCACCCTTTTCTAAGCTTTTTTCTCTCTTTTGAGTGATATATCAGATTAAACAACAAACGGCTGAATAAATAATGTGCATACAATTGCGAGGAGGCTCGTTTTAAGTACACGTTTTTCAGATCTGTCACAATCTTCGTATTGGAATACACTTCCGTTTTTGAGTGTATAGTCCCACTCTGTTATATTCCTCCTTCCTACAGAACAGACAATGACAGGATAATATGTGATTTGTCAATAGTCCTATTTCTTAAAACCTTCTCTGTTGTTTAAGTGTCTGATAACCACGAATAGTAAGCAATGATATAACAGTAATGATATCACATGATCATGTCAGACAGACACTGTGTTATTTTCAATCAAGCCTAAAAGATAATGTGTTCAAACTGGCTTCACTCACTTGAATTGCTCCTTTGAATATCATTTTTATATATTCCTACTCAACCCATGTTTGTATTGTAAGGCCACTATTTTTTTTTAAATTGTATTTTAAAGTGATATTGAATGCTTTGAAAGGTGCCCTAAAATAAAGTGTATTATTGATCTTATATCTGTGCCTCTATTACATTACATTTCATTTTCTATCACACTATTAATGTTCCTTATTTTAGACTAGGTTAATCCTGGTGTCAATAGGGAAGATCTGCACTGTTCTCTACATAACATGTTCAGAGCAGGTATTTCTCCTGCAGATCAGGTGTTGGTGCTGCCGGATTTGGAAGTCCCTCTCTAGTTTTGTACCTGCTCGGGAACAGCCAGCACCAGTGTGATTTTGGTGACGTTGTGACTATCCTGGCCAAAATTACAGGGGGCGCTTCAAAATCCGGCAGCTCTAACAACTACACTGCCGGATATGGAAGCCCCTCTTTAGTTTTTGACTTGCTAGGCCCAGAGTGAAATGCTTTGGTGAGCACAAACTAGAGGGGAACAGCAAGCACCAGTGTGATTTTGGTGAAGTTGTGACTATCCTGGACAAAGATATAGGGGGGGGTTCCAAATCCGGCAGCACCAACACCTGATCTGCCGGATTTTGAAGCCCCTCTTTAGTTTTTCACCTGCTGGGCCCAGAGTGAAATGCTTTTGTGAGCACAAACTAGAGGGGAACAGCAAGCACCAGTGTGATTTTGGTGAGTCTGTGTCGTGACTATCCTGGCCAAAATTACAGGGGGCGCTTCAAAATCCGGCAGCTCTAACAACTGCACTGCCGGATATGGAAGCCCCTCTTTATTTTTGTACCTGCTGGGCCCAGAGTGAAATGCTTTGGTGAGCATAAACTAGAGGGGGACAGCAAGCACCAGTGTGATTTTGGTGAAGTTGTGACTGTCCTGAACAAAGTTGTAAAATAAGTAACATTAATAGTGTGATATAGGCACAGATATAAGATCAATAATACACTTTATTTTAGGGCACTTTTCAAAGCATTCAATGTCACCTTAAAATACAATAAATAATAAAATATGAGTGGCATTACAATACAAACATGTGTTGAGTAGGAAACCACAGAGGAAAATTACATTCAAAGGAGCAATTCAAGTGAGTGAAGCCAGTTGGAACACATTATCTTTTAGGCTTGATTGAAAATAACACCGTGTCTGACATATGTTATATCATTACTGTCATATAATCAGTGGCGTGCACAGAAATTTATAGGGGCAGGTGCTCAAGAGAAAAAGAAGGGCGCCTTCTGAGTCGTCGTGGCGGTCGCGCCGAAATTGTGCGCTCCGAAATTGTGCGCAAAAATTTGCCGGATAATGGCGGATTTTGTTAGTTTCTTTTCGGTTACTTTATTTCGGGGTTAAGGTTATGTTATTTAATTCTTATTTTTGCCTGATTTTACTGATTTATTATCAAAACAATTATTATTTTAACATTTATTTGTATTATTCTAAATGACTTAGGGGGGGTCCAATCTGAAGCTAGGGGGGGGACGAAATCCCCCCCCCCCCCCGGGATTGACGCCCCTGGTGGAACCGCCGGCTGCCTTAGTAGTGTGAGATTTATTAAAAGGCACATCTTGTATGTCGTAATTGCATATATATTTATTTCAATAACCATATGCTGTCTGATGCAGATGCCTATCTAAAACAAATCAAATAGTAGGCTTACTAGCTTCTACACGCTAAAGCAACTGTAGTCAGGGATGCAAACTCATCAGGTATGAAAAAGGTGACAAGGATCCGATCCCCCGACCCCACGGAATATCGGCTTTAAAATGAGGAACAGAGGATTTTAGCAGTCAGAGCAACTAAAGCAGCCGTTAATAATAACAGAAACGCCAAAGAGTTACATCTAATAGAAATATATAAAAGCATTTATTTTAATTGTGTAGCAGTCAGTTTATAATTTTGGCAGCACTGTTGAGCATTTTGAAAATGTATTTTCATGCCTCTTAGTATTTTTATAATACTTTTCTACTTTCACTTGAGGAACATTTTGAATGCAGGACTTTTACTGTAACAGAGTATTCCTACACTGTGGTACTTCTACTTTTACTCAAGTACAATATCTGAGTACTTCTACTTTTACTCAAGTACAAGATCTGAGTACTTCTACTTTTATTAAGTACAAGATCTGAGTACTTCTACTAAAGTACAAGATCTGAGTACTTCTACTTTTACTCTAGTAGCCTACAATCTCTATACTTATACCACCTCTGTTTATAGCCTATGAAAAAAACTATTAGAAAGCGAAGGCTAAAGCTAACGTTAGCAGATAGTGACAATGATATTGCGACAGAAAAACTTTTCAGTTCACATCACGCTCTGCCGCTCTGCTCTGAACACCTGAACGGCCTGTTCTAACAGCTGTTCACCAGCGGCTCAGTCTGTGCCACAGTGACTCCGCACAGTTAACGAACGCACCGTAGATAATGTAGCTGACCCTCATCCCGGAGCAGCAGAGTTCAGCCGACAGGCAAGAAGACTCGAGCACACAGCTCGCGCTTCATATATTAAAAAATAACACCATGCGCGTCATGATGGCACATAACAGCTCGCGACCGCAGATTATTTCGGCGATTAGATAAAATGTAAATTATATTTGACGCAACTTTAGTTACATTTCCATGACTTTTCCAAAACTTTGGGAAAAATATTGTTTTCCATAACTTTTCCAGGGCATGGAATTTGCATTTTGAATTTCCATGACTTTTCCAGGTTTTCAATGACCGTACGAACCCTGTATAGTTTAGTTTGGCATCTGATTTAGGGGATTAAACAATACACTCATTGTATTTGTTACCTGGTGGTTACTCACTTGGTCGTCACTAGGGCACTTTTAATCGTGTTGCTGCGTGCTGCTGCACCACACACCCGCCGTGGCCTGTCTGACTGTCAGCTCTGCGCGCTGCGCGTTCACTTTGAGAGCAGGGAAGGGAGGGGCTGCGGGGCACGTGTGGGGATGTCTGACAAAATTACAACGCGCATTTGGGGCATTGTTGTATATATTAGAAGCTTTTAATCCAGAATTGATCGATGTTACCATGAGCCACATACAGTACACTGTAAAGAATCAATTAAAAAAAACTGTAAAAAACGAACTTTCAAAAGGGCACATTGCTGTCAAGAGGGCAAAACGGGCAGGTGCTCAAGCACTACCTAGAGTCTATGTGTGCACGTCTCTGCATATAATTGCTTACTATTCGTGGTTATCAGACACTTAAACAACAGAGAAGGTTTTAAGAAATAGGACTATTGACAAATGACATATTATCCTGTCATTGTCTGTTCTGTAGGAAGGAGGAATATAACAGAGTGGGACTGCACTCAAAAACGGAAGTTTGTTCCAATACGAAGATTGTGACAGATCTGAAAAGTGTCCTTAAAACGAGCCTCCTCGCAATTGTATGCACATTATTTATTCAGCCGTTTGCTGTTTAATCTGATGGGAAATATATCATTCAAAAGAGAGAAAAGTTTATTAAACTAGACGAACGCTCAATACAGGCGATGACGTCACGTTTGCGCGTCCCCGCGAACAGGGCTTCAATCTACGGCACAACACCGGCTCTCTCACAAACTCCTGCTCTGTGCGCAAGCAGGCCGCTGCACGTGCTTTCTGCCTCGCTGGTAAATCAAATGCCCGCCCAGAGACGTATGTCTGCCGCCGGGACTGACTGAGTATTACTTTGACTTGCAGAATAACTTGTAAGAGCATTTATTTTGTACATGTTGTGTATTATCGATGTGTTTGTACAACTCACACAGTAGCATTGTAATTACTCTTTTAGAACTAATATTAGACTCTTTTAGAACTAATATTAGACTCTTTTAGAACTAATATTAGACTCTTTTAGAACTAATATTAGACTCTTTTAACTAATATTGTAGCCCTGATTGTGTCTTGGATGTACTTTTTCTAATGCTTCTTTTATACTTAAATATTTTAGCCCTGATTGTGTCTTGGATGTACTTTTTCTAATGCTTCTTTTATACTTAATCAATGTGAGTTTTTAATTGAAGCATGCCATCTAGGAAATGTATTGTAGACACACCTCTCTGTGGTGGTTTTAGACAGGACACTTATTACAATATAAAAAAACGTATTGCTATATAAAAATAAAAATAAACTTGCCTTACATTGAAACTGGTCTCAAACAGGTAGAACTGGACTTCGAATAAACTGCGGTCCGAAGTTCGGGTTACACGTAAGCTCCCAGTCTGTAAACAGGGCCAGTGCGAGCTGACCATGGAGGGTGGTGGAATGGTTTGAGGACAAGCAGGAAAGAAGTGTTCACCATGGGGAGCCACAGGAACGGTTTTACTAAGGAGAGTTTCATTTTGTCTGTGGATGTCGGGACTACTTCGATCAGATGTCATGTCTATGACAAGGAGGCAGAAATCCGAGGGTCATGCTCCACCATGGTATGCATCTATTTCTCGCTTTACATGTCTTGAACACATACCTAGATTATTTTGGTGCTGGACTTTCTGTTTTCTTTTGCTAATATGTTATCAAGGATACATTACATGTTTAACGATATATTTATCTGTACATATTATTTATACTTAAGTCTGTTAACCTTCGCACATTCTTTGTACAATTTTAAGCATTCTACACAAAACTACTTATAAAAACTGCACAGCTCTTTCATTTGAATTCAGATACATATGTAAACAACGGAAATGTCAGATTTCTTATATTTTGTGTAGTTGTCTTGTGATCTTTATTTATGTTAGTTGATTTTTTTTAATTTACAAAAGTACTACTTATCCAAAACTACGTATTCAGATATATTGTACATCTTTAATAGTATTTTGACTTTTATTTTTGTACTTTTATTCTCATTCTATTTATGTTTCTTGATTTTTTTATTTCAATTTTTTTTTGCTTTGTTTATATTATTCACCAATACAACAAAGCGTTTAAACCGAATATTTTTTTCCCGATTGTGATTCAGGTGGTCCCCTTGTATCCAGAGGTAGGACATGTGGAAATGGACCCAGAAGCAATATGGGAAGGGTTTATCACTGTGGTCAAGGGAGCTGTGCAAGGTACAGTTTCACAATGTCCTGTTGCCACACATACTAAGGAGATAGACTGGATGTGATTCATTTTACATGTTAATATCTGCAATACGTATTTGGTGAATATGTTGCTAACCAAATGCGTGTTAAATTAATGAAACGTTATTTATAGAGCGCTTTTCATAAACAAAATGTAACTTGAAGTGCTTCACAGACAAAATAAAATACTACCCCCCCCCCTTCCAATCAATTGATGATTAATAATAACACATCATATCAACTGAACTTAATTTATATAGAAGTTAATAAAACAAGACTGTAATTGTAAACACTGCCACACTCACGTCCTCTGGTATGCTGGTAGTCTCAGCTATATGTAGTATTTATTTTTTCAAAGAGAGCAAATAAAGCGAAAGGCTGGCAAACATTCACTGAATTGCCGGTTCCTTGAGTACAATCGACCTGGCTACTGTTCAATAAAATCAAATAAGCCTCCCTGCAATAAATAACATCCTTAATAAGGGTATCCTGTCCTTTAATTGAATGGATCACACATAAGATTACATATTGAAATGTGAAAGGCTGCTCACAACCAACCGGACACTTTAAGCTGGCCGGTTTTTCCAAATTTGAATAGCTGACTGAAGTAATTATTTGGCATTGTTAAGGAATATATTAAACCCAGAACACTTACCATGTATTTACCCAATTCACCCAACCCATTTATGTACAGGGTATACTTGTCTCTGTCCTTAGAAAGCACACAATAATCCCTGTGCGTCGGTTCCTATTCCCTATTCCCCAGCGCAACTCTTTTAATGATTGTTTTGCTCTGCTCATGTAGATGCCGGAGTTCACATGCGTCAGATAGAGGCCCTGGGCATCTCAACTCAAAGAGCCACTTTCACAACATGGGACCGGTGAATAATCATGAATAAATCCAATTACATCCAATAAAGCCGTTTTCACTTTTAAAGACAACGGCTGTAAAACACATGTTCCTTTCACTTTCAATTTGACAGGAGAACGGGAATTCCTTTCCACAACTTCATCAGCTGGCAGGATCAGAGAGCTGCAGATTTGGTGAAGTCCTGGAACAGATCCTGCACAATGACGGTGAGTCTTAAGCCTCTACACACCAAACTGACGCCAAAGAACACGTGCCAACGGAACGTCGCCTCACGTAGTATATAGTATATATACTCAAATGCGTACTCTATATATTTGAAAAACTCAACAGCAATGTCTCTTTCAAAAGAACCATGACAAGATGACCTATAATCAGGGGTGCATATAACTTTTTTGCCCTGGTTCTCAAAGGAGCACCTGGAGATGTTTCTTGGTGCTCATCCTTAAAATGAAATAAATAAACCGGTCTTTATTTGCCAGACACACGGCACAGAACACACATGCAGAGGTGAACACAGAACACACATGCAGAGGTGAACACAGAACACACATGCAGAGGTGAACACAGAACACACATGCAGAGGTGAACACAGAACACACATGCAGAGGTGAACACAGAACACACATGCAGAGGCGAACACAGAACACACATGCAGAGGTGAACACAGAACACACATGCAGAGGTGAACACAGAACACACATGCAGAGGTGAACACAGAACACACATGCAGAGGTGAACACAGAACACACAGAGGTGAACACAGAACACACATGCAGAGGTGAACACACATGCAGAGGTGAACACAGAACACACATGTAGAGGTGAACACAGAACACACAGAGGTGAACACAGAACACACATGCAGAGGTGAACACTGAACACACATGCAGAGGCGAACACAGAACACACATGCAGAGGTGAACACAGAACACACATGCAGAGGTGAACACAGAACACACAGAGGTGAACACAGAACACACATGCAGAGGTGAACACAGAACACACATGCAGAGGTGAACACAGAACACACATGTAGAGGTGAACACAGAACACACAGAGGTGAACACAGAACACACATGCAGAGGCGAACACAGAACACACATGCAGAGGTGAACACAGAACACACATGCAGAGGTGAACACAGAACACACATGCAGAGGTGAACACAGAACACACATGCAGAGGTGAACACCAGAGACACAGAACACACATGCAGAGGCGAACACAGAACACACATGCAGAGGTGAACACAGAACACACATGCAGAGGTGAACACAGAACACACATGTAGAGGTGAACACAGAACACACAGAGGTGAACACAGAACACACATGCAGAGGTGAACACTGAACACACATGCAGAGGCGAACACAGAACACACATGCAGAGGTGAACACAGAACACACATGCAGAGGTGAACACAGAACACACATGCAGAGGTGAACACAGAACACACATGCAGAGGTGAACACAGAACACACATGCAGAGGTGAACACAGAACACACATGCAGAGGTGAACACAGAACACACATGCAGAGGCGAACACAGAACACACATGCAGAGGTGAACACAGAACACACATGCAGAGGTGAACACAGAACACACATGCAGAGGCGAACACAAGACAACATTAGCACGACCAGTAATACAAGCTGTCATCACTACCCTCCTGACTGCTCTCCTCACTGTCTTCCTCTCTGTCAGACATGGTAGCTGATGATGTAGGCCTTCTTCTTTCTCTCTGGTTGAGTCTGCGATTAGCTGCTTGCATCCACAAGTCAACAGCTGGGTTTGGGTCGAAAGTCCAGTTTTAAAGGATATTTTTGGTTACTGTCCTATAGTATACATTGGAATGATTTAAAACCTGTTTATCCCAATAATTATAAAGGAGTGCCTTGGAAATATGTGTTTACATAAATTGTGACCAAACCGTTTGAACTTAGACTAAAGTGAACTATCTAAACACTCAGAGTCCTTACCTCACTGAGCTGTAGTTATCAGCCTCTCAGTCTGACTGGAGAGGACTCTCCCTCCACATTATTGTAGAAACATCTTCTTCTTATATCCGTTAGAGCAGCTAGCACCAGATTCTAATAACAACAGCGCCGGTACCGGTGCACCCTCCCTCTCTCCCTCGCTCACTCGCACTTTGGCTGTGAGCTGCGGGCGCCAGATAAGCCAACATCCCCCATTTCCATTGATTGAAAAGTTTATTAACAGCTTGTATATTGGGTACAATACAGTACAGCTCAAAACATACAATTGTTAAGGGGATGCAGACCAGAGAAAGACTTTCGTCTTGTTTACATCAGGGTCCCCCATTTCCAATTCATCATGTCATTTAAGACATATAAGACATATTTGACATACAGATGGCTTATTTACAATTTACATACAGGTGGTTTTTTACATACAGATTGCTTATTTACAATTTTCATTTTAGATTTCGTTCTAATACATCACTTACAGCGCCCATCGTACAGGGCGAATGAAACGTGTAACCGGGGTGAAAAGGGTGTTACATTTACTTAATTATGAATGTTGTTACATCAAGGCTGAAAATTAGGATGAGCCCCAACGGTCAAAAATGTTTTTTTCCCTCCCAGAACTGCCAGCGCAGCGCCTCCACAGATCTGGCGCCCTAGGCGAAAATAAACGCCAGTGCGACGGGCCGGCCCTGAGTTCATATGCAACTCGCAAATATCTTTCTCTCTCTCTCTCTCTCTTCTCTCTCCTCTCTTCTCTCTTCTCTCTTTTCTCTTCTCCCTTCTCTCTCCCTCTCTCTCAATGTTGGTACGCAAATGCGCCTTTTTTCAAATGACCCGGTGCTCTTTTTTTGGCCGAGGTGCGCATGTATGTGCAGCCCTGCCTATAATCCACATAACTTGTTGAAATCAGATTCATTTAGGAAACTTTTTTCTTTCTAGCAAAATATACCTGCTAACAGTAAAACCACTCAGTAGGATGCATACACGTACTAATGGACTAGTGCTGTGTCTCAATTTGCATACTTCTGTACTTAGATCAGCTATTTTGAGTGCATGAAGTTGAATGTGGATCAGTATTCCGATCTCACACTCAACGATCGCCATTTTAGCCAATAAAAGTGGCACAACCAACCACAATTTCAGTTGCTCAGGTGAACACAGCTATATTAATATATGTGCGTATTTTTCACTATTTAATAAGAGCACCACAATACTAGTGTGGAAAGGAGGCCACTGTTAATTTAAATAGGTTAAATGAGCAGTCTGTAATGATTTGCAACAATGCTAGCTAGCTACCTACAAGCTAACAACGCAATCGTCACTTCTAGTGAGGACACAGCAGATTTGCAAAATTTGAGACAAAACTACCCATTTGTACCCACACTTTGCAAGTGTTCACAGTGTACAAGGTATAGTGTACTAAAGGAAGTATCAAATTGAGATACGGAATAGAATATTCCATTTCCGGGTGAACTGTTAAACACCTGAACTAGAACATCCATAACATTCACCTGTTTGCAACTTACAAATTATTTATCTAATATATCATATTCCAATTACTTGTATATAGACTCTGATTGCACTATTTCTATTCTATTTTATTTGTATTTACTTGCACTATTTTATCTGTTTTATTGTGTTGCACTGTTGGAGGAGCCTGTGACCTAAGATTTTCATCGACATAACTGTAGCTATGTACGAAGGACAATAAAAGCCTTGAAACTTGAACCGTGCATTTAAGGAGATGAGATCATTGAACTTTTTTAACTATTTGATTGCAGCCTTGATACAAATGTTTGACACGCAACAACAGTATCAGTGCTGATAATCATGTTCCTTTGTTATGTATGCAATGCCATTTCTATCTCTGACAACTGCAGGCCATCCAGGGCGTGATGAAGGTGCTCTACTTCTTCACTAGACAGAAACGGTTGCTGTCAGCAAGTCGTCTCGTCTTCTCCCCTCAACATGTAACCTTCCGCCTCGTCTGGGCCCTCACACACTACAAGCAGGTGTGTGTGTGCGTGTGAAGAGCTGACAGTTTAATCCAGTGACTGACAGAACATCAAACCTAGAGCCAGCCTCCTTCATTGTTTCTGTCAAAAGGGATTCATATTCCACATTCCAGCACACAGGGAGCGGCTGGATTATTTTATCAGTCCTTCCTTGTTCTTTATTTCTTTCACCCTCATCATATTTCGTTCCTCTTCCAGGTTCGTCAGGCGGCAACTAAAGGCAACTGCTGCTTTGGAACAATCGACACCTGGCTGCTGTTCAAACTCACCAAAGGTGGGTGTGGCGTGTTAAGTGAAGCACATATGAATGTTGTTTTTTGACAATTCTCATAAGAACAGTACAGTCATCTATCATTTGTGGATTGTATTTCCATTGAACCTAGAATAGGACGTTAAATCCTCAACAGAATGTTCTTTGTTCCAAATCCTATTGCATCACTGATTGGCTAACATTTTTCATTTAAAGGTCCCATGTCATGGCCATTTCCACTGATCATAATTCCATTGTTGAGGTCTACTAGAATAGATTTACATTGTTCAATGTTCCAAACTCACATTGGTTTCGCATACAGCATCTCTGTAAAGTACGTGTATTCACTCTCTCCACTAAACGGCTCGTTGCAGCTCTTGCCCCCCCCTCCCTGTGAGCCCAGTGTGCTCCGATTGGTCGGGACCAGTCGGGACCAGTCGGGACGTTGTGAATCGCGCTGAGCTCCGTGGAGGTGTGATTTCCTTGTTTAGCGAAACACAGCCAAACTCACCCTGAGCACACACAAAGTCACAGCCGAAGTAAAAACAATAAGTGTGGCTTGATATTGAGTAAGAAAAAGGTTGATAAACGCTGTGAGAATGGGTCTGCAGAGAGAATGGGTCTGCAGAGAGAATTTCGCCGCGATCCCAACTGTCTGTTATCAGCCTGCAGCCAGGGAGGAGACATCAGCAGAGCTGCCTGCACTGAGTGTGTGAGGAAGTCCGTGGATTGGTCAATTTGGACCAATCAGCGGGGGCTTAACGTAACGGCTCCGCGGACGTTCGTAACGGCTCCACGGATTGGTCCATTTCGTTCCGGGTACGGATGACATGACATGATGTACCCGGAAGAATCAAATGGACAATGACGTATCTCCAACGAGGCGTTTTGAGGAGGTATTTTCTGTGTTAGAGTTTTACTCGCAGGGTGTACTTTAAGGGTTTTGACTCTGCACACCGTTTACATGCATAAAAAGTTTAAAACCTTCATAACACACAAGGGGATGGGTAATAACCGGAAAAGCATGACATGTCACCTTTAACTCCTGTGGGAAAGGAGGGGTTGGGAAAAGGCCTTTTTTTTGTACCTTTTTGAAGAGCGATTATGTGATGTGTCATCTGTGACAATTATTATGTTTCAGGGAAAGTCCATGCCACAGATTACTCCAATGCCAGTTCTACAGGAATTTTCGATGCCTACCAGGTGTGATGTTTGTCAAGTTTGTTTACTGTTTATTTCTGTTTTGGTGTGAGGTTTAAATATTCACATCCTTTATCTTATATACCTTTTTCACAGATGTGTTGGAGTGGCTTTCTCAGCTCTATGGTTTCTATACCTCTCTCTATTTTCCCCAAAGTAGAAAACACTAGGTGAGTTAACCATTACCTTCGAAGAGACCCTATTCTGCTTCCTGTAGTGTGTTCTATAGGTTTTTGTGCATGTAAATGGTCTGCAGGCTAAAAGGCTAAAAATACTTATACAAGACATGTTTTCAAGAATTAAAAATAAAACACAAAAAAAAGCAAATAATAATCAAACTCAATAATCCCAGACATTTTGTAATCTATTATTGACCATAAAAATGATTAATTTACAAAAGGCTGAAAAAACAAATAAGGTAGATAAAGTTCTTCAACTCAAAATAAACATTCACATTTCACCCATAGAGTAAAGTCTGATTATTTTATTTTTCATTGGAAAAAAAGAACATTTCTGTTTGCACAAGAGTCAGCATATTGTACTAAATACAATTTATGGAAATGTCCACTATCAAAAGGATATCTGTTTGTGATCAGTAAAACATTATTAAGATTGTGAATGAATAGTGTTAAAGTATGTGTTGTCTCTGCTCTCTCCCCATGCTTCCAGCTATGACTTTGGATACACAGACCCGTCCATATTCGGTCTGCCCATCCCCATCATGTCAGTGGTGAGTGGCTAAGGTCACTAAGTGTAATTAGAAACATTTATTACAACATTTGCATTCCAGTAACGCCAGCGTGTCCAAGTTCATGTCACCGCCATATGTTGTAAAATGGAACTTATGCCAAGTTATTGGTAATCATCAGCACAGGTTTTCTGAGGGCAAAAACATGACAAATCCCGCTGGAGACAGGCCCTGCTTTCTGTAACAGTGATGGCCTTAGATCTAAACATTTTCTTTTAACAACATACTCATGTCTCTATATAGATAGCGGACCAGCAGGCAGCCATGTTTGGAGAGTGCTGCTTTGATGTTGGTGATGTCAAGATCACCATGGGAACCGGCACCTTCGTGGACATCAACACCGGGAATACACCACATACATCGTCAGCAGGTGAAGCAAAATATATTCACAACATTATTTATTCCATCTACTCCAGAGCAAGGACAAACTGTTGGAATGTTCCCTCTGTGGCTCCACTTTGGAAAAGTGTTTTAAGTATTGTACCTTTTGGGTTAAGTTATTGGATCTTCTTAGTTTACAATATATACACAATGGAGGAATAACATTTAATTTGTCCCTGAGCCTCCGGATAGTTCAGTGGTTAGAGCTGACGCCCATATGCAGTGTCCGCTGCCAAGTACACGAGTTCTACTTCTAAGCCCGCAGAACGTTCCAGGCAGTGTCCTCCCCTCTATCTCCCCCTTTCAACACTATCTCCAATAAATGCACTCTCTGGCCCAAAAAATATACGGTAATATACTTTTGTTAAGGGCATATTTTTCTATTTAAACTATTGAATTTTTCTCAGGGAATTCATTACAATTTGATATGATTATGAATGTGTGTACATCAGGCTTTTATTCAAACCGGGTAACTGCTCAGGTATTACTTTCGGCGTGCGCCCTCATACCAAAATGCCAATTTTCGCCTGTAAAATGTTAAAGTGATGCCAGAAAACAATATTTCTGCTCATCAAAAACTGTATGATTACTATGAAAATCGTGTGAAATAGACGGTCGGACGGCAGTGACAGCTTTGTTTTTACAGAGCTCCGACGTCGCGATGTTTTGAGTTTGCAGCGCCATCTTGTATGCAGGCGTCATGTTCTTGCGAGAATTGATATATCTTATACAAGATCAGCGCCACAGCACTGCCCTCATACTATATTTGTATAGAAAGAAAACCCTTATACATACGCATACGATACGCATACATACGATAAGCAGCACGTGTCTGTGTGGATAACTGCTGTAGGTGTATGTAGTATATCTGTCTGTTTTGAGATGAGCAGACCTGCGGATCATTTGGCTGCTGGTAAAACCTCCTGAACAATGAAGAATTAAGAAACCATATCTGTGAGAAGCTGACCAAACGACAGACATGATTCCACGCTCCTTCACAACACCTTTAAGCTGTACTTTGTTGATGTTTTGATTGAGGAAACCCCTATTGGCAGAAAACCACATATTGTGAGTTAAAGAGTAGTGTGTCCTTTCTGTCCTGTTATATGTATCACTTTTGTTTTTATACGTATGAACACAAAATACTTTAATTTAAATTCAAAAAGAAAGCAACTTTAGGCCCTTACAACTGCAATTTCATGGGGAAAAGAATAATAATAATTCCCACAAATTCAAATGGGTCCTCCTAAAGTTGTCAGTGCTCTGTCTAAATGTATCCATACCGACAAAGCTATTGTCTGTCCCCAGGTCTGTATCCTCTGGTGGGATGGAAGATCGGCTCAGAGGTGGTGTACCTGGCCGAGGGCAATGCAGCGGACACAGGCACCGCCATCAAATGGGCTCAGGAGCTGGGTGAGACACCTGATTATTATTTATTTCATGTTATTTGCAAGGAGTTATGGTCAGTAGTTCAAACTTATTTTAATTGTATTATTATTATTTTTGTGTACGTTTATATTCAATTCATTTTGATTCACAAACAGTTTAAAATACACTCATAAGACATGATAGAGACATGTGAAATGGGACATCCCCATAAGCTACAGTATAAGAAGCTTTAGAATAGGGACACTAAACACAGGAAATGACAACTTGCATTACTTTTACAATGTCTAGTTACTATCATATGTTTATATTTTTCTGTGTTTGTAGTAGAATTGTCTATTAAATAGTATTCTAATTTATTCAGAATTTGTTTATTGTGCATTCTTTAGATACTCTATTGATATACATCCTTTCTACTTTTAAAGTATTTATATGTACTGTTTATTTGTATTTTGGTCTATTCTTAACTTGTGTTAACTACTTGTTAACTTTCTGCTGCAGTGACAAAACAGTTTCCCAATTTGAGGTGTATAAAGTGTGTCTGATTTAATGTATAGGATCCAAATAGAAACATTTACAAGTTAAAAAAACAACTAATATTAAGACCTAATAAACACCTCAGATATATGACAAAGGGAAACTAATGGTACAAACTAAATGCATTTCAGAGTAGAGCAACATGTTTGCAATTACCCAGTGATTAAGTGTAGTCAAGCTCTGACTTATTTAATAACAACTGCTGCTTTCAAACATTTTTAAAGAAAGATGAACACGTTTATATTGTGTAATGAATCTTTGTCCATACATGAGGACAAAAACACAATGCTGGAATCATCCAAATCAGCGGTTTTCAAAGTGTGAGGCACGCCTCCCTGGGGGGGCGCCAGAAAGCTTCAGGGGAGGCGCAGCGTGAGAAAAAAAGACGAGTAAAGTGTGTCACTTGCACACTTTTGGCTGTCTGTGGAGACCGAGTTCCCCCACCTCGCCAAGGAGGCTGTGAAAGCGCTCATTCCCTTCACCTCCACCCAGGGGCGGACTGGCCATCTGTGTGTTCTGGAAAATCACAGAACGGCTGGTCGTCGGCTGGTCGTCAGCGGGCCGTTGGCGGCTGGCTCGGTTCGCTGACGGCCGGCACGCCCTTTATTTTTCATGTTTTTAAACGGCATCATTTAGTTGCGCTGACAGGCGACAGAGTTCAGCGGGCCGTTTCCACGCAGCGAGGCCCCCCCCCACTTTGATCAAAAGCAAGTACCGGTCAAGGCTGCAGCCAGAGGATGATCTGCGTTTATTCCTCCCCACATCATCCGCCTGTGCGCATCAAAGACGCAGACTCATTGTTCCCACTAAAGTAGGGGTGAGTGTAATAAGGAGGCAAAGTTGACGTTCAGTGTGTTGCCGGGAGCATATAAGGATTTATCCACCATGTTGAAAATGTTAAAAATGTTTAAAGATACAAATGTTTAAAAAAGTTATTGTTTAATGTTTTAAGGAGGTGACGCTACTCAGCCAATCAAATGGGTGCAGTCAGTGAGTCAGCGCGATAGAATCAACCACACACACAGAGACGAGACAAGAAGAGAGAAACAGTAGTGAGTCATTTCAAATGGCGTGCTCAACAAAGAGAAAGGTAGACAGCGAAAACAGAGCATGTAATGACATGTTCTCTTACCGGACCTCTTTGAAATGCAATTGAATAGCCCTGCATTATAGCAACAACAATAATAATAATAGCAATAATAATTGGGAGGGGGGGCGCGGTAGTTCTTATGTTCTCTGAGGGGAGGCTCTCCTTCCCACACTTTGAAAACCCCTGATCTAAATGATACACGTTTGAGAGAAAATCTTCCTTACACTGAATATATTAGCGAGTGACAGATTCAGAGGGTGTGTGTGAAAGCTGTGTGTGTGTTGCAGAGCTCTTCTCTGACGTCCAGGAGACCAGCGACATGGCTTACAGTGTCAGTGACTCAGACGGAGTGTGCTTCGTTCCCTCCTTCAACGGCCTGCAGGTAGACTATTGTGTGATAATGTCAAATACAAATCTATGTACTTTTATAAACACGTGTGTACAAATGACAGCAATAAAGCAAAACAACACATGTACTTACAGTAGCATTTATAGATTTGAACTGATATGAGCATGGATTTATTTTTATTTTTTGTTTTGTCTTTCTGTAACATGGTCATGTGTCTCTTTTTTTCCTTTGCCCTCCATTGTGAACTGGCCCTTGTAAGTCCTGGATGTTCATAGCTTGTATAAACGTCATGACATAATCAAATGTTCTTTAAATGGTTGTATAATCAAGACAAGCACACAGTCACCATGTAAAACAATTCACTGCACTCTATCTGACCAGAGGCTCATTTCACTTTAAAGGTCAAATAGGTAACATTTCCACATATACATGTCTAGAAAAAACCCTAGTTATATATTTAGTTGTAAGTTGTGTAGTTACTTTTCCCCAAATGTTCTAAACTATTTTAAAAGCTGAATTCATAAAGTGACTTTTATAAGGATTTTAGATCCTGGTGGTTTCTAACTATATATTTTAACCAGATGAAGGATTTTAGTCTTAAACCTGCTAAGCAATTTAAGCGCCAGCCAGATAGGACTGGAGAAACACTTATTTTCTTTAGCGTCATACTGCTTTAGTTAGTGTTTTACCGGTTTGAATTACCGCACAGGAGGAGACATCTGAGGACAATTCGGCTTCCTGTAAAATCATCCTGACAAGAGTCCTTCATTGTAACCGACGCTACTTCACAACGCCACCTAACTCTGTTCCTCTGGTTTGATTGAGACACTCTAGTGGCAGAAAACGACTTATTGTGTGTTTAATGCATAGACCTTTGGACCATTTTGATTTTATTTTCCTTTTTGTTCTTACCAGGTCAGTTTTTCACTTTTAGAAATGTAACATTTTTGTATAAATGTATCCAAAGGCTCCTCTGAATGATCCCAAAGCCTGTGCCTCCCTCATGGGCCTCAAACAATCCACCACTAAGAGTCATCTGATCCGAGCCATTCTGGAGTCTGTGGCCTTCAGGTGAGAAACTTTGAAGAGATTTGTTTACCGTTCGTTCTCTTCATGCTTATCGATATTATCTCCTCATACGCTTCTTATTCTTTACAGGAACAAGCAGCTATATGACACAACCCTGAGGGAAACTCATATTCCCATCACAAAGATCAGGTGCCGTTTCTTTCCCTGATGTTCTAATTCATATATATTCTTAAGAATGTCCAGACATTGGATTTGGAATGGGAATAAAATTGAAATTAATATCCCAAATAAATGAAATATAAAAACTATTTTACCACTTTATCCAAACCAATTTAAAAAATGTGCTCTCAGCTGAAGATATTCCTATGTAAACTATCACTCAATGGGCTATAATGAGGTCAGGAAAAATGATCCCGTCACGTCCCTATATGATACAGTATGTGACGTATAACAATGGAGGTAATGTCCATGTATTGTCGATATTTTAAAAGTCATGTCGTTATATCAACTGATCATGTAAAAATGATCGAGGTCATGTCGATATCCTGAAAATAATCATTCTTGTCCATATCGTACAATAAGTCGGTAACTTAAAAACCCTTGAAGTCATGTCTATATATCGTACGATAAGTCAATCACGTAAAAGCTACCCTGGTCATGTCCGTATTTCGATGGATAAATCAATTAAAATTAATGAATGAGGTAACGTACTTAAAGCGGACCATTCATTTCAATCTTTATTTCGAACAGATACAAAAAAAACATCATTTATATCATGTAAAAATACTCAAGGACATGTACAAGTATTGTATGATACGATAAAGAAAAAAATCACTCCGCCAAAACAATAAATAATATTGACTCAGAACAACAACGTCTATGCAAAGTCTAATGTTTAAACAACCTGCTGTTTATTCTGGCCTCATGTTGGCTGACGTGCTGGAGACATTCCTATGCAAACAAACATGCATGTAAACATAACGCTCAATGAAGAGGGTTAGGTCCATATGATGTTTATAACGTATTTATAACACGATAGTGTAAAAATGGCCGCGGTAATGTCCATATATCGTACGATAAGTCAACGTTAAAAGGTTTGCAGTCATGTTGATTCTTATGATACAAGTCAATTCATCTAAAAATGAGTGGGGTAATGTTCAAATATCAAGACAAGTTGATAACATAAAAAATGTATTGTACGATCATTTATACAATAAATATAATAAACCTACACAACCAAATCAATAAAGAAAGAAGACTCATGCTCTTTAAACAAAACTGTGTGCAATCCTCAAGTCTTAAGCTGCCTTCACATGATCAGTGTTATAACAGACGTTGCTGTTGTTTTCCTATGAAGAGAGCATGTTGAACATTTCCAAGAAATGTCACAGAGAGGCGCTCTCAAAGTTCAATCTATTTCAACTTTGACCTCGATTGCCACTGACCTTCTGACATGCAACCAGCCAGATAACAGCTGTAGGAAGTGGCTCAAGCTAGCAGGGGAGGAGGATACCATAGGAAAGGAGAAAGGAGAAACTAGCGGAGAAAACCGTGGATCATGTGAAGGCAGCTTAACAGTAGGTAAATCCTGCTGTTAATTCTGGCCACGTGTTGGTTAAAAGGTTGGTTAGGGTTGGATTATCTTTTACATTTCTTACATTCTTATGTAAACAAGCACGTAAATACAACAGGCAGTATATACTACAGGTCAGAAAAGATCAAGATCATGTCCAGATAACATATAGTATATATGATGATAACATATAGATAACATATAGTCGATGTCATAAAAATGGTCAAGGGCATATCCATTCATGGTCATTAAGGGATAAAGCTATTCTTGTGGCAGGCCTATGCACAGGGGTTTACCTCCCATAGTGGTCCCACAACCTTTTAATATTCCAGCTTACGGTGCAATATCTGATATAATGTCTGGATTTCAGCCAGGAAACTGGACGTAACAGAGTGCACTCTCGTGTGCTCTGCTAATGCAGTCCAGCTTTATTGCCAATGCATTACGGGGTGTATATTTCTCTGATACCGTTACAGTAAAGTGAGTTGCAGTGTAATTGAGTGTGCTATGTTATTTCTGGTCCCAGGGTGGATGGCGGCGTTTCCACCAACAACTTCGTCATGCAGCTGACTGCAGACCTGTTTGGCAGAAAGGTATCCCGACCCCACCACTACGAAATGTCGTGCTTAGGGGCCGCTTTCGTCGCTGGACTTGGAGTCGGTACGCAGACACACACACTCACACATAACATATCCATTGTGCTGTAGGCTTTTTAAGCTGTTTGTTGTCTTCCCATCAACTGCAATAATAAGATGTTTTATACTAAGTGTATTATGTAAGACAACAGTACAATGTGACCTTAGAAAAGAAGGAACCAAGATATTTAGGATCAGAAATGTGTCCTCTGCTCAGAGATTTTATTTATAGGAAATCCTGCCTTTCATTAAGCTTTTTAGTTTTTAAGTAACATTGTAATCCTGCTACAAATACCCAATATTTAGAAACAGTGATCTGATTACGTATTTTTTCCCGTAACTGTAATACAGTTCCCTTTTTGTAGGGATTGCCACACACTTTAATACAATACATTTTCAATACACACAATTCAAACACAACATTTAGCCTTCATTCTGAGTTTTAAAAAATCAAGTTAAAATGAAATGAACATATATTGATGTATTATCACAGACTGGTATATGTCCTTGGTGGGACATGTGTAAATAAAATATTACAACAAATAAATACAAATAAATCTGTATGCAGCACAAAGAAAGGTTGGGCTCATTTTAAGACAATAAGTGGAGTCCGACTTACAAAAAATGCATTCTTGTTGGTTGAATCCACTGTTTGTAAGTCGCTTTGAAAAAAAAAAGAAAAGCTAAATGTAATTTAGTGTAATACAATAACTCAAAAGTTTGTCACGATTCTGTTTTCAAACCATTTCCATTTTTTTTATGATGACACCAGATGCAATAGATTTAAATAATACTTATCATTCATTGGAAGAAGTGACAATTGTTTTTTCCTTTTGAATGACTTAGTGTGAAACCATTCATTTTTGTGGCAATAAGATGGAACTACCCCTTATTTCGACATAAAACCATTTAGGAAAACGGGTCAAATTCTACCCGAGGACAACAGGAATGTTAATTTGAAACATTTGCATTCCTGCATTTCTGTTAGTTTTGTGAAGCTGTGTGTCTTAAAGAGACAAGCAAACACAAAGAAAATCAGCCCTGTCAAGCACAAGACACACAAGCTTCAATATTACTCTTTACCTTCGCTATTTATATCCCAACACGTGGCTGAGACATTGAGTTGCATTTGAAAAGTTCCGATCAAAAGTTCTATTTTTACTTCGGCAGCTGCAAAAGAAGCCGACTGAAATGCTGCTCCGTTACGTAACCTATTTTCCATTTAATTATTCACATTATGTAATTAGATTGTTATACATTAGTCAGCACTTAATCAAATCAAACACAGGAGATGAATTTGTTCCCGTTGATTTCCAACGGGCTAGAAGCGGGTGGCTGAATAATAATGTAAAATTAGTTTGAAGTGGATCAGTGAGGAATATGTTGAATAAATAAAAGATCGGCAAACACAATGAGTTTCTTTTGCCAAGCATGTTATGTGTTTATAGGCAGGCTAGGGGAGTAACGAGTTACATGTTACATGTTACGGGATTACGTAATCAGGATACTAAAAAATGTAACTGTATTCCCTTAGTTACATTGAAAAAAGACTAAATCAGATTACTGTTACATTTCTAAAATAAGGAATAACTAGCGGGATTACAATGTTAGTAAAAACCTAAAAAGATCATCTAGTGTTTGTTGTAAAGGATCAGATGTTATCTCTTCTCTGTGAGCTGTACTGTTCTGTAGGCTAATACTTTAAGTGTGAATCTATACGCCTACTGCCTGAATCTGCTTTATGCTTTTCACTTTCTTTGCTTCACTTGTTCTGTGTTTAATTCAGTAGGTGAACCTATGTTCATAAAATAGTGTGTGTGAGATTAAAGGTGGGCTAGGTAATTTTGGAGAAACCGGCTCGAGATCGCTAGAATTTGAAAATACACAGCCGGAGACAATCTTCCACTTCCTCACAGAGCCCCTCCTCCAACACACGAACGCAAAGTGCTTTTTACAGTACGACGGCTTCCACAGATGACGTTTTTTTTTGTCAAAGCACTTCAGATATTCATTGCTATCGGGATGTTAAGAGCATTCCATGGAATATAACAAAAAGTGTATCTCAAGCCGGTTTTTCAAACTTGCCTACCCCACCTTTAACTGTGTGTAAAACGGACTAAAACGGAGCTCAGATTTTATTTCTGCTTTTTTAAACTGTAGTATGTGCTCATGTGTTTGATTGTATAGACTGCTGCCTGAATATGCTGAAGGAAAGACAGCTTTTCCTATAGATACAATCATTTCTGATCCTAGATATCTTGGTTTCTACTTTTCTAAAGTCACATTGTTCAGTCGTCTTACATAATACACTTTGGTAAAAAACATCTTATTGGTATGTATTTTCCCTTGGATTTATTGGCATTGCATTTGATATTGAGTTCATCCAAAAGTAACGGAAAGTCATCGGATTGCGTTACTTTTATATTTTGGTACTCAGCTTACTGATTAAAGTTACCCTCCCAACCCTGTGTATAGGCCTTCATCTGTTGTACACAGGTCCTTTTTAAGTGTTTGTGTTATTTTCTAAGTCCCCCTCTGTTCTCTGTGCTCCCTGCAGGCTATTGGAGCAGCAGAGAGGAGCTGAAGAAGCTGCAAAGAGCTGACGATGCGTTCCTGCCCAAAGGGGTTCCCAACGGCAGTGCCTCCAGCCCGAGTCGGGAGTACGTCCCCGTCATCCAGAGCTGGGAGAAGGCTCTCAGGCGCTCCATGAACTGGTACAAGCCGTGACCCGGACGCACACAGAGAGAGGGCGGTCCAGAGTCTGAACAAGTAGGATATCCATACATGAGTTTTTAGACTCCAATTGAACCTTATCCTTGTACTCATTCCTCACCTCAAGCCACTGGTGCCTCTTTATATTGCAGTTTTTTTATCAAGCTTGGATAATATTTGTACATGTTGACTGCCACATGGGGGCGCTAATGACTCTGTCTTGTAGCTTTTTCTTTTATGAACAGCCATAGCAACAACATGCCACACAATATGGATTGAAATCACATTCACACATGATGCTCACTTAATAGGAAGCAGGAATTTAGAATAAAGAAAAACACTTATTAGTTAAAAATCCCTTTTCCTTCTTGTCTTCACAGCATTTAGGCTTTGTTGATCGATAAGTAGTCAACTATAAATGACTTTAAACAACTTATTTAAATATCTTTATCTCAAAATCGTACAAATTAACTAATATGATTACCTTTTATCAGCTTCTCAAATGTGAGCATTTTTTGATTACTGTGACAGTAAACTGAATATGTTTTAGTTGTGGACCAAACGAGACATTTGAGGGTTTCTTCTTGGGCTTTGAGAAATAATAATCAACATTTATCACCATTTTCTGATAGATTATAAGCAATGGAAAAACGTGCAGCTCTACAAGACATGTAAAATGTTAGTGTCACTAGAAGAAACATCCACATGTCCTTAAATCAGAAGCAGCTTCATGTTTACCTTTATACATTCTAGCTGCTCGCTTTACACAGTACGTGAACTTATATTGTATCTAAAAACTATGTTTATATGTGATGATGATATTTTTTAAATGTGACTGGAACAAAATCTAATTGTCTGTGCTTTGCTCTGTGGAGGGAAATCCTGCAGGCTTTTACTACTTACACTGGAAAGGAAAACAATTTTGCAAAATGTGGCCGTTAGAGGGATCTGATTAGAAAATGTAGCTTTGCTGTAGTAGCATTGTCTCACACAGAAATATTAAATGAAAGGCTCATGGGTAGTTCAAATTAACTGGGGGATATCAAATATTAACTTGCTTACAACATAAAATAGGATACATTACATGTCATTTTTACATAAAGTGTATTTCTTGTCAATCCATGTTTTGTAACCCCTTATTTTCAGGTATTATTGTTGAGTTCCTCCCCGGGGGGAAGCCATGTTAATGTCATGTGATGTTTTGACTCAAGTATTTAACTTGACCTGATGAACTAAGATGACAAAGTTACACATTCTAATCGTCTTATAGAATAAAAATGCTAACAAATAACATAACAAATGTAAACTGTGAATCTTTTACTTGTACTTGCTTGGTGTCGTTAAATGTTTGTGCCTTTCCTGATGATGTCATATCAAAGGGGGTCGACACGGGCACACGGGTTACAATGTCCCAAAATACACATATCAGGAGAAACGCGCTGCAGCTTCTAAAACAAGACAAATAAAAAAATGTGCCAAAATACATGCAACTGAAGGAACATCTCCACCAACACAACTCATGCACAGAGCTCACTGAAAGCGCTGCATAAACAAAGCGCTGCAAGGAGCTCAAGTACTACTTTCATGTTTTATGACGCCGAGTTAGCCGGTGTTGCAGTATAACGTGAGTCATGACAACTGGCGACATTCTATTATTTTCGTCATAGGAATCCGGGGCGTGTACATTGAGGACCCATTGTTGATTCACCATGTCGATTGCCTCGTTTGTCGTTTACGTTCATCTTTTGCTATATCTGCTTCCTAAGATCACTTTGATGCACATTCAGTACTCGTATGTGAGGTTGTGGGTGAGAGGTGGATATCGTGACGCTTACAGGGAGGTATCGAACATTACAAAGTAGGTGACTGTGTGGATGCCTGTTCAAAATATTGCAAACTTGAATAAATCATTTAAATTATATATTTGTGTCCGACTTTCATTTGTACATCGTTATTAATGTGATCTATAGTAGCTTTGATAGCTGCCCATACCTTCAGACAGCCTAAAAGTAAAACACAAGTCGTTTATTCACAGCCCGAACGCTCATCGACATGACTGGATCACTCATGACAGGTTGTGATCAGCTCCGATTAAATTGTGATATAAATGCTGTAGCTATTCTCCAGGGAGCCCGTTTTTTTTATGAAATACCTGTATCCCTCTCATCACAACAAGACTCTACACTGTGCAGGAAAAACAATTACATACATGAAAATAACCTTGATGCATGGGAATGAATCACACAAACTATCTTCCGTGGCTATACTGATATGTCACAGTAACGGTCAACCACAGAAACGTAAGTCCAGCGGGACACAAGTTGAATACATATAAAACATTTGTACATCGTTCTTAATGTGATCTATAGTAGCTTTGATAGCTGTCCATACCTTCAGACAGCCTAAAAGTAAAACACAAGTTGTTTATTCACAGCCCGAAAGCAGCATCGAGATGACTGGATCATCTGCAGTGTTGGGCAAATTACTTCCAAAATGTAATACAGTACATTACTTATTACTGTCTTTTTTAAGTAATAGGCTACGTTACATTACAATATTACTGTCTCTGAAATGTAATGATCTACACTACTTTTATATTAGCCTACTTTTGATCACAAATACATGGATCCTGAGATTGAAGCTCAAGCCGGTGACCAGTGAGATTGTTCTAACAATTTCCAATAAATGTTATTCTGAAACATAACTATCACTGTTGTCTTTCCTTCTATAAATGAAGCGAAAAATATGTCAAGCTGGCGCTTAGCCCTCCAAAAAGTGCATAGTTGCAACTTAGACAGTTACGCATTTTATATCAGTGGGTCCTCATGGTGCAACACGGAAGGCAGACAGAATTGCTTAGACACAGGTGTCACATGAACTTTAAATGTTCTGGAAAGTTCCTTATACAGCTTTAGCCTTTTTTATCTCATGAAGTCCCTAAGTGACACACCCTGAACAGTCTGGTGGGTTATGGTCCTTGTCATTTGCTTTTGTGTTCCCATAACAACATGTCCAAGATGTCCATGTGCCAGGCTAACACATGTGACAGAACTAGCTACATTTGGAAAGGTTTTTTGTTGCTAAAGTTAACATTCAAGCCATTTAAGAATAAAAATGCTTACATGACATGACATTTGTTAAACATTAAGCTGTCTTCGGCTCTTTTCTGATTCTGATTACATATAACCTGTTGTAGAAACATTTATTGATGAAATTGATATGAAACAAATGCCATAAATATTGCTGTGACACTGATGTCACATCGGGACATTAACCCTAAACATTCACAGTAAACCCGGAGTGACATATATGCACAATTACAAATATGATTATGATCTGCTCAGTTAATTTAGCTGATTCAATTATATTTAGTTAACATATTCTTTATTATTCAATTTAAAGTATGTTCAAACAAATGGAAACCAAAAAATCATCCTCATTCATGAAGTTATAAATAAGAGTTACTTTACCATTAAAGCCCAATGTGACACATATGTCACATTTCAGATATTTGACACTAGGGGGGGTTACTTGTCAGAAATGTGTTCTAGGTCTATTTAGGTCTATTTAGTCTAAATGACGTTCCCCTTAATTTCCCCAAAAGTAGAAATGGGTCCGGGTTTTGATGGGTTAAACGTATAGGCTTAAAGGCATAATAGAACTACTGTATTATATGTATTCAACGTGTGCCCCGCTGGACTTACTTTTCTGTAGTTTACCGTTCTGTGACATATCAGTATAGCCACGGAAGATAGTTTGTGTGTTTCATTCCCATGCATCAAGGTTATTTTCATGTATGTAATTGTTTTTCCTGCACAGTGTAGAGTCTTGTTGTGATGAGAGGGATACAGGTATTTCATTAAAAAAACGTGCTCCCTGGAGAATAGCTACAGCATCTATATCACAATTTATCGGGCTACTTTTTCACCTTTTTTCTGGCCCGACAAATCGTGGTTCTAGGGCCAGGAACAACCAGGCTGAGTCGGGCTGAGTATGCTAAACTAGAGAGAGAATCGCTGGCAAGGGGGCTACAACTACAACAACATGAACATATTTGACCGTGATTTAATTGTAATACACGTTTCCCTCCCACCCTTCAAATCCAGCCTAAAAACACACCTTTTTAAACTGGCGTATTCTATTTCTTAATCTCTGCTAAACTGATTGTTGTTTTTAAGTCTCTGTTTTTTAAGTCTCTGTTATTTAAGTATTTTTTTAAAGCTCATTGAAGATGACGTCACGGCTCCGCCTACACTGCGTTACTATAGTAACTGCCCCAGTTCCTAAACTGTAATGGAAGCGCAGCATTAAAGTGAGCCGGGCCTAATAAGGCCTAACCAAACCGAGCGAGGCCGAGTGAGGCCTGCAGTGGAAATGCGCCATAAGTGTTTTTTCTGTTTATTTGAATATATCATTGATTTGACTAGGTTGGCTACGTTGGCTAGCTACCTTACAGCAGATCTGTAATAATATCGGAAGGTAAAATAATATTTTAAACATTTTAGTTATGTTTCCAGTAACAGTTGGCCAACTTTATAATCCCAAAACATCAACAAGCGGTCCCAGCTGTGTGCATCACTTTTTAGTGTCCCCTGATTTCCGTTTTGTTTTCAGCTTCTTGCAGCGTTTTGTTTATGCAGCGCTTTTAGTTAGCGCTTGTGCATGTGTTGTCAAATTGGTGAAGATGTTTCTTCCTTTGTGTTTTGGCACATTGGTATTTTTTTATTTCCATCGTTTTTTGAACTACAGTGGGCTTCTCCTGATGGAAGTCTTGCAAGGCATTTGCCCCTATCGGCCACCATACTTATCCTCTTTCAAAGCCTTGTTATGCCAAGTGATACTATGCATAATGCAGAAAATGAATGGCATGCCCAAGCTGCTGGTGAATAACAAACATGAATTTTGTTACTGAAATCAAAGTACTTTGTAGTAGTAAAACAACGTAACTGATGAGCAGTGTCTTGTCCTGATTTGAGTGCGTGTGTACACGGGGAGCAGATGCTGCCTAAAAGGTTTTACCTCCACATGGACTCTGGGGAAAAGGTGCTGTCCGTGGGGGAATTATCAGGCTGTTGGATGCGTGTCGCCATCGCTTCCCATTGATGTGACCGACCTCACTGCGAGGGTTGCTATGGTAGCTTGCAGATGGAGTGACTGAGAACAAATGGGGTGTGTTTTCCTGCTTATGGTGAAGGGGGCGCTAATTGAGTGCACAGAAAGGGGGTTTCCTACAAAACAAAGGGAGGATTGTGCGCCTGTCCCCCTCAGAGGAAGAGCCAAAGTTTTGTACATCACACAGCAACAGTATTCCCCCCCCCCCCCCCCCCCCAAACACTGGGAGGGTTATTTCAAAAATGTAATCTGTTACGATAACTAGTTCCATATCAAAAAATATAATCAGTAACCTATTCTAAATGCAATGCAAATAAAACCAAGAGAAAGGAATAACAATAAGTGTTTGTTTTTTTACTTAAGTGTGTGTAAAAATGTAACCTTAGAAAAGAAGAAACCAAGATATTTCATATAAAAGATGTAGTAACAGTAATAGATTACAAATATTGTTTAAGCGTAACACATTAATCAAAAGCATACACTGTATTTTTGTTTTACAAATCTGGTGTCCACCTACTGCATTAAAAAAAGAAATGCATTTAAAATAAAGAAGAATTAAAGTAGCCAAAATATAATTCATAAATACATTTCAAAATGTATAACACAATCCTGCTGGTTATCTCTATTTATTTTAATGCAATAGTAATACTTTAAAAAAAGAATGTTTTAACTGTAATCGAATACAGTTACCTTTTTTTGTATCCTGATTACGTAATCTCGTTACACACTGAAAAATGTTGACTTTATTTAAATGTAGGCCTATTATGTCATAAATTGAACCTTATATTTATTACTTTAACTTAATAATATTGCTTTCAACCAACCTGACAGTTATGTGAAATCTGTTGACAAAATGCATTTAATTAAAGTTAACGTTTCCGTTTTTTCAGTGTAATCTCGTTACATGTAATCCGTTACTCCCCAAGCCTGAACACTTCCTCTACTCTATAGCTGTCAATCTCAGCGTTCTCACTCCTTTTTGTGTCTTAACAGTGGGCCTTGCTTGCAGGATGCCTTCAGAGAGAAATGTGCCAGAGTAAGTGAGACGGACAGGACTGGCCCATGAATCAGTGCATGCCTGCTCTCACACTAATCAGGAAAATGGGAATGTGTGTGTGTGCTGGTATTGTGCCGCATTGTATGAGTTGTGGTGGACCCTGCCTTACCACAAATTCAATCTGACAGCAGGAACTGGATGCACTGCGACCACTACTCCAGTCCCCCTCCCCCATAGGAGCTGAACCCTGCATCAGGGGTCATTATGTAACTCCCCTCCTCTCCCCTCACTCGCTGTTACACACTGGGACTGTTCGCTGGAGTGTCGGGGTTGGAAGTTAAGCTCTTGTCCCCTTTTTTCCCTCTCCTTTCAGTGTCTCAGCCTCCCCCCCCCCCACTGAGCCTCTCAGCTCATTCATGTCAGACGTTGGCACGAGACACTTGGATAGAACACAGGGAAGCTCATTTACTACATATTAAAATACTGGGAATAAAACATGCTAACCTTGCTTAACTCACAATGAATACATCTTCTGTTATCTATGACACATCTGTTTCAGATCAGTCATGTTCTCTCTCTTTCTCTCTCACTCACACATTCTAGTTTCAGTGGTGCTCCATTGCCATAGCAACAAGGGTTGGCAAATGCTCCAAATGTCTATGCTCAAGCAGTCGGTCACAAGTAGCACCCTCATGGGCTGCAAATGTGCTGATCACTGGCATTTATAAATACGTGTGTGTGTGTGTGTGTGTGTGTGTGTGTGTGTGTGTGTGTGTGTGTGTGTGTGTGTGTGTGTGTGTGTGTGTGTGTGTGTGTGTGTGTGTGTGTGTGTGTGTGTGTGTGTGTGTGTGTGTGTGTGTGTGTGTGTGTGTGTGTGTGTGCGCGCGTGTGTGTCTGTGTGTGTGTCTGTGTGTGTCTGTGTGTGTGTGTGTAAATCTGTGCTTTCTGTGAAGTGGTTAGCTTCCATTGCTGAGGAAATACACTCCAGGATTGGTTATTGGTTTGGTGACTCAATGCGTAACACCAGTAGGTAGAGCTGCAGGATCCCATATCATATCATTATGATACCATAGCTTTTATTTCAATAATATTCAACGATAGAATCCATATCATCTCAATAATAAATTAAATCAAAATGTGACCAATATTCAAATGTAGGCCTATACTGGATTGGTGAATACGTCATGACATAGTGTGATATTATAGATGATATGACATCCTGGTTTGTGTATAACATTATTTAGAAGTATCTTTTCCACAATGGCACTAACATATTTTGGTTTCTCTTGCTGCAGGACCCCTGTAAATACAAAGCGGCGTTGTTTAACGCCATTACAATATAATTAATGATAAGAAAGATATCGTGCGCTCTATTAATAAGATGTGCGCGTAACGGTCCGCACCGTGCGTCTCCCCGTCATTAGCCAATGTCCATCCATCTGCTCGCACTGCATCAGCTGTGCACGTCACAGTTTTCTTTTTCCTCCCCTCTCTCCCTCGTTCCCTCTGTTCCTCTGTTCCTCTCTTCCTCTCTCTCCACACCGCCCACTCTCACTCACCGCCGCCTCGCCGGCTTCTTCTCCCCGTCACATCGCCTGCTACCCTCTTTTTTCTGCATTTTTTGGTGGAGAAACGCCGCGCATTCTTTGGACCAAAACAGCAAAAACACAAACCACCACCATGGCGAACACCGAGGATAAAGTGGTGGCGAAACAGGAGAATGCGACCACCTGGAAGGACTCCTTCTACAACCCGAGGACCGGGGAGTTTATGGGTCGCACGGCCAGCAGCTGGGGTAAGGCTCCCGATGCACAGAGCGCAATTAGTGTGACATTCACGGGGCTTAAGCAATAACCTCTGCACAATCACATGAAATATGTGCGCGTTTTGGATAGGCTAAATAACCTGCTCTATCCTCCTGTGCATGGATGAATTTAAAAGAGATGGCAAATGAGATGTTGGATTAGCCATCACAGGCGTGCATGAAGGTGTATGATGCTTTTAGGTGTGTGCGCAACAAATAACAGGTGATCAGATTTTCCTCACATTAATATTCATCATGATTGGATGATGAGGAGCCCAGCTGTCACATGTGAGGAGCAGCATTCCAAGGCTGTATCCATAGATTTATGTAATGATTCCCCCCCACCCCCCCTCTGATAGGCTGATAGGCAGCCTGGGCCCCTGTGCTGCTGTGCAGTGAGATGCTCCATTGCAGTTGCATGGCCGCCCACATTAGCATGCCTGTCAAGGTCAAATGGGATTCCCTCTCTCCTCTTTCTCTGCCTTTCACACACCAGGCAGGTGCATTGTGGGATACTGTTGGAGAGGAATGAGAGGAAGGGGGGATGTACAGCAGGAAGCAGAGGGGTCCATCCTTTTTTTCTCTTCTGTTTGTCCCTGTTAGAGGGCATCCGTGCTGTGCGAGGCTGGATGGCGGTAAACCATTTTGAGTCAGATGTTTCCACAACTGGGGCTCCTCTCCTCCCCCCTGCATGCTGCTCATATATGAGGCTCCCAGCACTGCAGCGTCATCCCTACATAAAGTGCGTTTTAAGTGAAAAAAGGCCTCCTAGCATCATAGCATGTCCCCCCCTTGATCCAAAATGGTTCCTCTCAAAGGGATCGTGCTCTGTTTCCTTCATGAGGTGAATCAGATTTGAGTTAAAGCTTGAAGTGAATTATACATGACCCTCTGTCTCTTCCACTCATTATGTCTCCTTTTTTATTCCATTCCTCTCAACTTCCTCCAGCCCTCATCCTGCTCTTCTACCTGGTGTTCTACGCCTTCCTGGCCGGGATGTTCGCGCTGACCATGTGGGTGATGCTGATGACTCTGGACGACAACGTGCCCAAGTACCAAGACCGCGTTCCCTTCCCAGGTCTGTGTTTCCAAACAAACAAATAGGATGGCTTTTGAGCTATCTGGCTGCATTGCTCTGCGAGACATCCAATATTCATACTCGCACCAATGAGATGCTGTCACAGTAATGTGCTACATTACAGCTGCTTTTTGTATTGATCTGTTTTCAAGTGTGTACCTGTCAGCAGTGGAGTCTGTTTCGATCAGAGAAAGCTTTCTATAACCGGAGACTCAGATGATGGTGTTTGTTTCTCCAGTGTGTCTGATATGTTTATTTTACTCTGATGTTGCAGGGTTGGCGATTCAACCAAATTCACTGGATATTATCTACAATAAATCTGAACCATTAAAGTACGCCCCGTATGTCCAGAAGCTGGAATCCTTCCTGCTGAGTAAGTGCACTTCTCCCTGGTACAATACAATTCATTTTATTTACAAACAGTTGAGCTATCCAAATCTTTAGAATAGGAGCCTAGACACTCAAAAGAAAGTCGTTAAAGTATATATTACCAACACATCTAGAATTGGAAAGATTTCAGAATAATTTACAAGCCTAAAAACACCTGATACTAACCAAATCCTCTAAAGCTGATCCAACTACTAAATGGTCCCAAAACTTGAATTTCATCAGTAATAACATTGGTGTGAATTAGGTAAGTCATGATAAACACAGAGATATGAGAAGGGAAAATAAAGGTTCGGATTGAATGCATTTCAGAGTAGAATTACCTGTTTATTCAAGCTCTGACACGTATTAATCACTTTAAAATAAAACAGGGTTAGGGTTTTTCCAATCATTCTTTCCCTTTCCCTGAATATGAGTCCGCTCACCTCTCTCTCAGGTTATAATGATACCGAGCAGGAGAAGAATGAGGAGTGCACTCGAGGAGAGTACTTCCTGCAGGACGACGCCGAGGACATGGAGAAGAAAGCGTGCCGCTTCAAGAGGGACTTCCTGAGTCTGTGCTCCGGCCTCTCCGACACCAACTTCGGATATTCTGAGGGGAAACCGTGCATCCTGCTTAAATTGAATAGGGTAACGCTAAACAAATCACAGAAAATTGCTTTAAAAACATACAAATTGTATCTCTCTGCCAACTGTTTATTCCCTCCCAGCTTTAATCTCCATCTCGTCTGCTGAATAAACGATCATGTCTAATTTTGTCTCAACCTCTCATGTTACGCTTCATAGATCATCGGACTTAAGCCTCGTGGGGAACCCTACATCACCTGCGCAGTCAAAGTAAACTTCTTCCTCCACATGTTTCTCTACATGTTGTATATGTGTATTTCTGTTTTCATTCTTTTTATTTAAGAAGACCATGTTGATATTTTCTTTCTGTTGATCTTTCTTGTTTTCCTTCTTTTTGTCTGTTTTTTGTCCGTTTCTTTCTGCATGCTGTCACTGACGGCCTTAGGGTAAGAGCATATGTAAATTAGGAGGATAAGGCTAGCAGGGGAGTTAACACATTTTCGATTATGTAACAAGTCACTACGCAGGTGCCTCTCTAAACCCATCCTAGTGCCATTCTCAAGTCATTTTAATCTAAAAGGCGCAGCAAATGCCATTTTTGCAGATTAACGCAGAACATGTTTCATTTAAATCTCCTCACTAACAAACAGAAGGCCATCGCTTTTGCTTTTTTCCACGTCTTGTCTCGTAAACTTGGAAATACATGTCATTTGCTTTTAATTTGACATGATAAGTTGCATTTCATGTCGCATTCACATTGACTAACACATGTTCTTCTGTGCAGAAAGACGAACCCATTCAAATGCAGTATTTCCCCCGTGAAGGCAGCATTGATAAGATGTATTTCCCCTACTACGGAAAGAAAGCTCATGTAAGTATTCATCATCAGTCAGATCCTCACCGCTAACACATGGATGTTTTATAGGGAATGGGAGTGAATAATGGGGCAGCACGGCCATCTTTGAAGGATAGCGTCTATGTAAGCAAGCCCCCAGGAAGTGCTCCGGACTCTGAGGAATACATTTGTTGTGTCCAAACGGCGGTACTACAATTTCTGTATCAGTCCGTGACATCACTGGGCCCAGAAAGACTTTTCCCATTGACTAACATTGGGAAAAAGACGTCTGCAAATCGGCAGATATTTATTTTTTAAACTAAATAAACGACCCAGTATGAACTATCTTATATCATTCGGTCCTTAAAGTTGTAAAATGCACTAAAAGCCGAATCTAGATTTATTTTCTCTCTCCATTCATTCTAGTGAGCCGAGAGTGGGATCTCGGGGGGCGGGGCTTAAGGGGCGCATGCTCTGTGAGCGCACATACAGGTTCTTCTGCTCTGACAGCCAGGCATGACGGGTAATCTGTGACGTTTCGCTCTCTCAAAAGTAGGGCCATTTTGTCCTCATGCGCCAATGAGCAGCTCTCATAGGAAAGAACGAGACCCCGCCTCCGACGCTGTATCCAGTTCTTATTATACATCCATGATAGCAAGCCCCAGGAAGTGTGGCGGACTTTGTAGCAATTTATCATATTGGCTGTCACTACCCAATCCGCATCCCTACCCAATCCGCATTGTGCATGTGCGAGATGGTCCGCCATATTGGACAACTACATATGGCTACCCAAATAGGACACTTGACACAGTGGCGTTTGGCAAAGCAGAAAAAGAAAACCAAAAAAAAACCGACAATATTAATCTGAACGAGAGAGAGTTATTGTTATTACAACGTGACTTCACTATTATTTAACAACTCCTTTTATTGGGTCCTTTTATTGGGTTAAGTACATTGTCAGAATAAGTGAGAAATGGATTTAACTTCGATAGATGTCGATAGATGTCGGGCCGTCGATGAGCGTTGTGTCGCCCTACTCAGATTGGCTTTAATCAATGTTTGAAAATGAATTCTTCATATATGATAAATGAGAGGTGACATTTTATTTATGGTATTATTTCACATATTTCTCTCCATTCTTCCTTCTGCCAACGCGGTGTCGCAGTTTCTCGTCTCTCCCGTTGTTGTGCTTAGTGCGTACGCATGGGTTAGAGTTTGCGTGGAGGACCGCACATTTTCCCGTCAAGTTAGTATTTTATAAATCGCAAACATTGTGTAGAAACTGGCGTACGCCATTTTTTGAGCGTATATCCCTTTATAAATGAGGCCCCTGGTCACATGACCTGTTCAAGCCGGTGCCGCATAAAAACAACAGTCCGGACAAGTACTGGCTTGAAACTATATGCCAGTCTTTGTTTCATGCAAAAAGACCCAGTAAACACGGAGATACGATGATATAAAGTTAATACAAATATATTTCAAAAGTATGGAAAATGGAAGCACATATATTTTAATATCTTCGCCGTATTTTATCATTTTACGTGATTAGTGAGTTTATTTAAGGTAATTAGGTAGAAGCCCTTTTTGATCAGTAACGAATTTAGCAGTTGAACATAAAAGTCAACTGACTTGCAATGACAATAGGCGCATTCACACTGCGGTACTTTTCCCACAAAGGTTAATGTGAACTTAGTTCATGTGAACTCTTTTATCGCGTTCACACCAAAAATCTGAACGAGAGAGAGTTATTGTTATTACAACGTGACTTCACTATTATTTAACAACTCCTTTTATTGGGTCCTTTTATTGGGTTAAGTACATTGTCAGAATAAGTGAGAAATGGATTTAACTTCGATAGATGTCGATAGATGTCGGGCCGTCGATGAGCGTTGTGTCGCCCTACTCAGATTGGTGTGTACTGCACCGTTGTGTCTTTTCGGCCGTGCCGACACCTTCCGCCGCCGATTCGACATGTTGAATCGGGAGGCCGTAGGCCAAAGAAATCACTCTGATTGGCTGTTCAGCTAGCGAATCAGCGCATGAGAAGCGAAACGGAAGTGAGGGACCCAAACAAACTATTAAGAAGGCAAATCTGAGATTTCATTTAACTCCAGTTCTCGACACAGGTTCGGGAAATCCCCATGAGCTTCTCGCTGTAGAGTGAAAATGGAACACACACGTTATTTGTTGTTATTTATATCACGCAGTCTGTTCTTCTTCTCTCTGTGTATCACGCAGTCTGTCTTCCGGTTGTTGCCTCTTTTGAATGACGAATACACACTATCAACGCCTGCTGGTAAGGACAGTTATTGTGCAACTTGGCCGTCGGCTGAAGTCTTTGCGGTGTGTTCCAGTGCGATCGCCTAGGTCGCCAGATCTGGGGGGGGCGCTGCGCTGGCAGCTCTGGGAGGGAAACAATTATTTTGACCGTTGGTGCTTATCCTAATTTTCGACCTTGATGTAACAACATTCATAATTAAGTAAATGTAACACCCTTTTCACCCCGGTTACACTTTTCATTTGCCCTGTACGATGGCCGCTGTAAGTGATGAAAGTGGGGGATGTTGGCTTATCAGGCGCCCGCAGCTCACAGCCAAAGTGCGAGCGAGCGTCCAAGCGAGCAAGCGAGGGAGAAAGAGGGCGCACTGGTACCGGGGATTGGCTTGTTGTTATTACTAGCATCTGGTGCTAGCTGCACTAACGGATATAAGAAGATGTTTCTACAACAAGGTGGAGGAGAGATCTCCTGTCATACTGAGAGGCTCAGTGAGGTAAAGGACTCTGTTTAGATAGTTAACTTTAGTCTAAGTTATCTCAGTGGGTCTCAAATGTTTTGATCACAATTTATGTAAACAAATATTTCCAAGGCACGCCTTTAAAATTATTGGGATAAACAGGTTTGTTTGAAATCATTCCAATATACTATAGGACAGTAAACCAAAACATATTGTTTAAAACTGGAGAGGTAAAATAAGATATGAATGAACAACAAAAATAAAATAAGTTACATTTATTTGTTATTGGCTGTGGTAAGTTATTGGTTATGTTCACATACTTATTTGATTATTAAAATGTAAAACGATCTTTTTCATATGGGTGTTTAGAGTTGTACCCCCTAGATCAGGACTCTATATGCCTAATTTTGTGCTCAAAGTGCACCAGATTGAAGCATTTTACTTTAAAATTCAAACATTTCTTCCCGGGGGAGCATACAGATGTAGCACTCTAGAAAAGACTCCAGCCAACAGCTTCCTGCCAAAGACCCAACGGATCCCAGCGGCTGGGAATGTTAAGCCCTCCCACTATTTTCCAAGAGGGCGTTGCCAGATTTTCAATTTCAGGATTGAACCATTAGATGGCGCTTCATTCACAAATACAGAAAGACAAGTTTCATGGACTTTCAGTACTTCAGTTGTGTTTTGGTGAAGAGCATTTGAACACAATTTGTTATGGTTTTCACAGGCTACTACAGTATAACGAAAAAACATCAATATTTTAGATCAAATAAAGTATATCTAATCTTGTAATTCAATAGTCTTTATATATTAAATAATTATAATGTAAATGTTTACACTTCTTTATTTGTTATGCTCATACTTTTACCTTTACAATAGTTTGCTTTAATATGCAGTATGTTTTTTGTAATATTTTTTTGGTGTTTGCTTCCTCCTGCTCCCTTTCGGACACATACTGTATGATTTATAGGGCCGGGACTTTAACGCGTTAATTAAGATTAATTAATTACACAAAAATTAACGCGTTAAAAAAATTAACGCATTTTAATCGCACTTATTTTTGCACCGCGGAACGTTTCTCACTGGATGAGTTTCAGGCGTACCGATTATACTGGAGCACCAACTAACGTTCATGACTTCAGACAACAACAAACCACAGTGAACAACAGTGGGAAATGTTGTTTTAAAAAACGGACGGATGGAAGCGTCGATAAGAGCACGGTTGTGTGCAAATTATGCAAAAAGGAATTCGCATATCACCGCAGCACATCAAGCCTCAAGTATCACCTCAATGCAAAACATATAGCAGCTAGCGTGGAAGCTAGCGTGGACGTTAGCCTCTTTTATCGCGTTCACACCAAAAAGAGCCGGTACTAAAATTAGTTCATGAGAACCTTTTTACCCCCACGAAAGTCCCTGCTAGAGAGCAGAGAGCTGCTAGAGAGCAGGGACTTTCGTACGGCTCTCTTGTGAGAAAAGAGCTATATTTCTGATTGGCTGGGCGGATTGCAAACCACGCCCCGTAAAACTCCCAAAAAGTTTTGTGAAGCCGCCATTTTATTATCCTCGCATTAGCATTATTAGCATTAGCTCAGCGCAGAAACGCAGAGAGACTAACTTATGGCAACACAAAATAAAACATGGGAGCGGTGGAGATGAGGAGGTGTCGGCGTTCTGGCGATTTACTCGGAAGGCTTCAGTAGAAGCTGCTGGGAGACCCAGCAGCTTCTACTGAAGCCAGTCCCCAACTCCGGGGACTTCCGGCCGGGGACTTTGGGCGGCAGTATACGCCGTGAAGTGGTTTGCGGCCTGCCAGTAAACCCAAAGCAGAAGAAGAACAAGTGACGTCAGCAGCTTCATTTGCCTAATCCTCCCCCAGGTTCAAAGAGTTCTCATGAACTAAATTCTCATGAACCTTTGTGGGAAAAGTACTGCGGTGTGAATGCGCCTAATGGTATACTAAAATCCATGTGAAAAAAATTGCTTCTCACTGTTCTTAGATCAAATATTTATATGTGATTAAAAATGCGATTAATTTCGATTAATTAATTACAAAGCCTCTAATTAATTAGATTAATTTTTTTAATCGAGTCCCGGCCCTAATGATTTATTATTATTATTAATATGAAGATATTATTAAGATAAGATAAGATGTTACTTTATTGATTGAAAATTTTTGTTTAGAGTTCTCAGGTCACATTCCGACCATTATTTAAAACAATAGGCGCTTTCACACCGTCGACAGTTTGATTTGCATAGAGGGAGCTGTGGCTGAATGGCCGGCGATTAGGTGTGGCGCAT